CCTATATTTGCCTTAATAAACCTAACTTGACCCTAGCTAATGTCCACAAGATCGTTTTTCCTTGGAATTGCATTTCTTGGGATGCCTGCGCTCCAATTTATACGAAAATAAAACTGTATCTATAAAACACGGTAACGTACGCCCGGATTGATGGTGATCAGGTTATTGTCCTCATCGTCCTTGCAGCTGACGGCAATCAGGAGTAGGCGAAGGCGAATGAAGCAGAGTTCAGCCGCCGCGCCAAAGGTCATGCCCTCAAAGGCGGGCGAGAACACCTCAGTGTACATTTCCATGCCGGCACCCTCCATGTAGTCATTCAGCCAGTTGGGCTGGAGGTTCTCGGTCCGGCGATAGGTGCGCATCGTGAAGAGGTTGGCCAGGAGGGTGGAGAAGCCCGGGGCCAGAGAGTTCTGTGCCAGAAAGCCCAGTTTCAGCTCCGCCACGCAGATTGCATCGTCACCCCGTCGCCAATCCCAGCTGGGGATGTTGAGTAGGTAGGTCTTGTTGTGATATTGCATTAGCTGGACAATCACCTTTTTCGTGTAGAGAAAAAAAAGATCAGATAAAAGTACTTTTAAACAGCCAAATCGCAAGCAGACATAAAATAAAGCAAAGTTTTTAACGATCAAATATTCGAAAAAGGCAAAGATCATGAGGTAAGCAGTATGCATTGACGTCATGTAATTTCGCGACCTATTATTCACCTGCAAACGCTGGTTGCCTATTAATGAGATAATTAAGCGTCGACCTTGAAGGGTGAAACTTGATCAGTAAAGAGGATAGAAACAGTCATTCGTAGATGTGGACGCATGGTGAGGGGTAGAGCAGATGGTAGGTAGTTGTCGCGGAATTGCAGTTCATGTTAGCTCATGTTCACGATAGCCTGCCGGCCGTGGTTAAAGGGGGGGGGGCGCAGAGTACAGCGTAGCAATCAGTCCTAAGGGGGACGAGGAGGCGTGAGAGGGTGTGAGTTTATCGATCGTTACCACGGCAGTGCGAGGTTGATAACATGGGCCAGCTGCTTGCTGAGTTCTGGTTTTTATCTCCGTATTACCGAAGTACGAACTTAGCCGTAGTCTATTGGTTCACCATGCGACCAGTGTCCACTAGGCGCTTCGTGATTTTACTTTTAGGTATTTCATTTTCCGCTCTGAGCAACCACTTCGGTATATGTTAAGCTGACCGCGTTGCCAATTGCCTTTGCCTGCGTCCAATGTCTGTGCATCCGCAACTACATGTAAACTCGTAAACACAATCTGGTTTCACGTGCATAGGCAGAATGTATTTGATCGGTCTAACTGGAATAGTCGTTGTTGTGCTTATTTAGTACAATTTAGAGACAGGCTGCGTTCTTTCGATCGTGCATTGAAGCATTCGTTCTATCACTTTAGGTACATTATCACCCTTGAAATAGAGGAAAATGCTCACCGATCTTTTTGCCACTGATATTTTAGGAGGAGTTGCATCTCTGCGGTTGCGATACTTATCAAATATTAATATGTCACTTGATCAACCTATGTAGATGCTGAGGACATTTTCCATGAACAAATCTTGTTAGGCTAGGTAGAATACGCAAACTGAGCTAAATAAGGAAAAATAGATTAGTTTAACATGATAAAAGTGCAAGAGACACATTTTCGGGAAACGTGACATTCTACTGGTCGCACAAGTCGGCGCTTATCCAAAAGAATACTGGAGCAGTTCCAAGCATGGCTGAGCAAAGGTGAAGTTAGAAGCATCAACAGTGCCGTCCTCGCCCACATGGTTAACTCCGGACATCGTGTGAACCCCACCCAGGCCTTTAAGATAGTTTATAAGGTCCCGCCAAAATACCCAAAGTCTCTGGGTCAGCGTTTACTAGCAACAGAAGAAGAGACCACTATCAGATTGAGGAAGCCGGCGTTGTGCGCGCAAAAGAACCGCCTGCAAGCTCTACGTCTGGCATT